GCCGGCCGCCCCCCGCTCGGGCTTGGCTCCCCCCTCCCCCGCCTCTCCCCGGCCCGGACTCTCGGCGCTTCCACTCTCTGGGAATCACGACCCCTCCCTGCCATGTATCCGCAAGGCAGACATCCGGTGAGTAATTGCAACTCGGTCTAAGCATCTATCAAGGCAGGGTAAACGGGGCAGTTTATCTGGCACCTCCATTTTGCTTGTTGCTACCTTTCTGGTTGTGTGTGTGTGTCTGTGTGTGTGTGTGCGCGCGCGCACTGCGCGCACACGCACGCGCGCTCATACAAAGAGGATGGGGGGTGCCTTTGAGAGAGGAGGCTCATTCTGCCCGGGAGTGGGGGCAGGGGGGCGCTGCCTGTGTTCCAGAGACCTGTTTGTTTTCACGCTGTTCCCTGCTCCCTCGCTTAAGTCTCCCAACTCATCCTCCTGTCTCCCCTGCCCCATCTTACTTGGGAATGGGGGACCCCTTCGTTACAGAGGTGGAAGCTCTACAGCCAATCGCAAGAGATTAGGGTGTCCCCCCTCCCGCCCCATCCCCATCTGGGAGCTGAGAAACTTGCTGGGAAGGTGGGGGTCTGTGAGAATGGCCTCTCTGGTGGGGTGAGGATGGAGTGGGGGGAAGCCGAGGGCGGCTGCTGAGGGGCCCAGGCCTCATGGAGCCCCAGCTGATGTCCCCCGCCCCCATTCCTCCCCCCCTGTCTTGTCTTTGCGGTCTCCAGGCTCCCCATCAACCCGGACAGCCGGGATTTAAATTCACAGTGGCTGAGTCTTGTGACAGGATCAAAGACGAATTCCAGTTTCTGCAAGCTCAGTATCACAGGTAAGGCCTTGGGGGCCGGCTGGGGCTGGTGGGGAGAGGAGTCCCTGCCGTGGCTTCTGCCACCCCCCGCGGGGGCTTGGGGGTGGCCGGGCCTCTGCCTTTTGTTTCCCCTTTCCAAGTGCGTTGCTTTAACCCTTCTCCACCCGCAGACTCCCAGCTCCCCGCACAGCCCGCAGGGTCCCCAGGGTGAGGGTAGGAGCCTTGGGCAGGCTCGCTCTGCGTTCTGGGGGTAGAGCGCCAGCATCAGGGACCTGCCTCCCTGTGGCCCTATCAGTCTCCTCACTTGGCCTCGGGAAGTTTTCGTTTTTTCACTCTCCCTCCGACCCGAGGCTTTGGGGTAATCGGGTACCCAGGGGGGCATCAGGGAAGTGAAAAGTGGCTCTCAGAGGCCCTCCTTTGGGGCCTCGGGGAGGCTGTGCAGGCCCCAGGCCTGAGCTGGCTGCTCCTGCCCTTGCAGCCTCAAAGTGGAATACGACAAGCTGGCGAACGAGAAGACAGAGATGCAACGCCATTATGTGATGGTGAGAGGCGGTGAGGGCCGGCCTGGCGGGCGCAGGCGGGCGGGCTGGCAGGCAGACTGGAGCCCTGGGGGCGGGTGCAATCTTAGTGTGCCTTCTGAGCTTTCCCAGCCTCCTTCAGCCGGCTACTTAGGGGGTGGTGGGGGCTACTTGGAGGAGGGTGGGCAAGAGGAGAGGCAGAAAGAGAAACCCAAACCCCAGGCCCGGCATTTCTGCCCTGTCTTTGTGCCCCTTTAGTTCATGTTTTGAAGGTTTCCCAGAGGACTGGTTGCCCTGTCTTGGCGAGTAGGACAGGACCCCACATCAGGGTTGGATAAAAATTTCCCTTAGAGCCCTCTTGGGAGTGTTTGGAAACTTTGCAGCCCAGGGATCTAGCCAGTGGGCTATAAAACCTTCCCTCCTATCCATTTCCTTCCCCAGACATTTCTGAGTGGAGGAAGAGCCTCCACTGCCCTCTCAGGGATTTCCCAACTGAGAATCTTATCAGCCCTGGGCAGTAGATGGCCATTCTCCCCTTTTCCCAGTGTCTGTTCCAGCGAGTTTACATCATCCGTCTGTGAGAGGGCATGGAAAGCACTTAAGCGCCTCCCTGAACTGCTTTCCACATAAGAGGCCTTCGACACATTGCTAAATAACTCTCAGAGGACAAGAGGGTCCCAGTGTACACACGATTCCCTGTTGAACCCGAACCTTGTATAAACAGGATATATGGCACATGTGCTTGTGGAAGGGAGGGCCCAGCTTCTCTGACTACTGTATGTATAATGTTCTCGAGAACAGCACTTGCTGGTGTTCAGCCCTTAAACCACACTATTACTGGCTGGGGTTTGATTTAAACTTCTTTAGCAAATGCATCATGAAAGTATAGTTTGACCAAAACTTTCCCAAAAGCTGATTTAGGAAAATGGAAAGATTTCTGAGTTGTCTGTTAATGGTAGTTCTTTTCACTTTTAGTACTATGAGATGTCCTATGGCTTGAACATTGAAATGCACAAGCAGGTAAGTAATTTTCTTTAAAAAATTATATATATATATACATATATATATATATCTCAAAAATTTAAAAATATATACCATACATGGTTTCTTATGGCCCCTTCTGTTTGAAAATGAGCCTACTTCTTCTCTTCCTCCTACTTCACCTGGAAGAATGAACGGATGAGTCCTTGAAATGCAGGGTCTGAGGCTTTGCTAATTTCTTGGACATTGAGCCTTCAAGCTTGTGATATTTGTTCTGGTCTCAAGGATAAAGGGGCAAAGGGAAAGTTGTACCTTCAGGGTCTGCTTTAGAACTCCTGAAGCCCAGAGGTGGCTGGCTGCTTTTATCTGTTTTAATGTAAAATTCTCAAGAGGAAATACAGGAGGGGTGTGTGTGCGCAAAAATGTGATGTTCTGCCTTGATAAGATTTAACTTCAAGAGTTTTAAAAGCCAAGCTGAGCTGTCAAAACTTAAAGGGAACAAGTCACTAACTGCTTAAAAATATAACTGGAATGAAATAAAACCCCAGTGCTCTGTCTGCATTTATGAGGGAACTTTCTCAGCTCTTTCTTAATTTGAAAGCAGTCTCCTTCCCATTTTACAGAGAAGGAAGGTGAACTGGAGAGGTGAAGTAACTTGCCCAGGGGCAGCCTGGCCAGGACTTTTGAGATGACTGGGAGTTGAGCTCACCTTTGAAATCCTGAAGTCAAACCAGTTTAGCTAGTATGGTGCTGCTTGATGGATATGTAAACTACTCATATTGTCACTCTTCTAATAACAGTATACCTCAAACTGAGCAAATACAAACACCCTTTATCTGGGTGCATATCAGTAAGTAGTCCCTGGTGCTAGGCTGGGCTGTGGGAGAGGCCTGTTTGTGTATTTGTGTTCCGAGGAGAGGCTGCCTATAATTTGGCTTGGCCAACGATTAGTGTTGGCATGTATAAATGGCACAGGCCTGTTGTTCTTTTTAACAATTGGTGTTCTTGAAATCTCAGAAGGCTCTTGACTCATGCTAGCTTTTGGTGACCGTGACTTGAATGGATTTTCTGCTGTAAATTAACAGCCGTTTACAAGGTTTTGCTCTTTCAGGGGGCAGGACCCAGGGCGGGTGAGAAGGGCAGGTGATCTCTGGAATGCTCCGAGATTCCTGTCTGCTCGAGATTCCTGTCTGCTCCGGTGGCTGGCATAGAGCCTTGTGAATCTTAGTGTCCTTTCCCCTCCTGGAGAAAGCCCCAGTGTTGGGTGAAGGGCAGCCAGAAAGAGGCCAGAGTTTACTGAGCAATGTGGGAAGTCAGCTTGTGGCTTCCTGAGGGATTAGCTCTTTAGGAAGGCACATAAAGGCTACCAGGTTTTCACTCCTTGAGCCACAGAAATCATAAACAGATACCGCTTTGCATGTAAAAATGTTTCTTCTCAGGAGTTTGGTTCTGCCCAACTTGAGGTGGAACTCACTGGTTCTGATTTGTGTGATAAGATTGCATGAAGTGGAACTGGGGTCCCAGGTGTTCATGGACCTTGGGGTCTTATCCAAGGTGCCACCTCCTCCCTTTCTCTACCTCCTCTTCTTTTTCCCTCAGTGCTTAGTATCTTGGGTGTGTTTAAAGAGGGTAATTGCACTCAGGTTTAAAATTTATAGCAGTAGTTATTCTAAGAGCTTCATAATTAAGGTGTAATATGTTGTTGCATGTTGAGGTCTGAATGGGTGGTGTTCCCTGTGTGTGTGAGTGGATGGTTCTTTGGCACAGAAAATCTGCCTTGGTTGGCAGAGCAAAGTTGTTCCCAGAGTCCTTAAGACACTGAACTCAGGAAGAGTTAACCACCTTAACACATTTGGTGGTGGGGTTTGTATAAGAGCAGCTGTGTGCATCTGGGACCTCTGGCCATTCCCCAAATAGGATTCTTAAGGAGAGAATGCCTGAGGTTTGGCTACATTGTCTCATTTAATCCTGTCAGTTGCCAGAGGCAGATAGATTCTCCATCCCCTTTTTGTAGGTGAGGAAACGAAGGCTTCAGGGGTGCCTAGAGGGTAGACATGGGACTCAAATCCAGGCCACCTTTGCCTTGCAGCCTCAGTTCCCATTGGCTTCCCAGCATGATTATGTGTGCTCTTGAAGGCTGTGCCTTTGCAGGATTTATGGCAATCTCTCGGTTGGGTGAAATCACCCATGGCTGTGTAGGAACAAAGGGACAAGGAGGTGAAGAAACCTCTGCAGAAAAGTGCAACCCTGACCTAAAGGGGCTGGCCACTCCCTGGGCTTGTGAGCTTTCTGCAGAAGAAAATCCAGTCACTAATTGTAGAGTGGGTCTTGGGTGCATTTGGCGGATGGTGGTTAGGCCTGAGCAAACAAGTTTATCAGCTGACCTGTTTAGCGGTTGACTGGTGTTTTATCTGCACACACAATCAAGTGACTGGAGTGCTTGAATTATTCATGCAGTGTCCTGCCCTCTAGACTTGACTGTTCGTGTGATTACATCTGCTTGGAACAAACAGGCTGGATTCTTCATCTTTAAGCTCAGGGCTGGGGGTGGGGACTGTCTGTACTTCTTTATGTAATAGATGATCTCCTGAGCTAGCGCCTTGGGAAGTGTGGCGGTCCTCAGCCTGTTCTCACACACATCCTCACACCAGCACCACCATTGGAACACAGGTTCTGCCAAATGGGCCCTGTATTGACAGAGGGCAGCTGATGAGGTGTGTCCAGCCCATTTTCATTTTACTGAGAGGTTAAACTCACTGTGGCTGGCTTCCCTCCTGACAGTTTCACTGTCTCCCTCTCATTCTTTTTCCAAGCTGTCAAACCCCAGAGGAGTAATAAATGGTTTCTCCTCTCACTCTTCTGCCTCCGTCCCTAATTATGGTAAAGCAAAAATCACAGGCCTGGCCTGGGACTTGAAGAGGTCACTGACCCCTCCAAGCCCTTGCTTCCAGACATAATGTCAAGAGTGATTCAGCGTGGCAGGGAAGAGAGGATGGCTGACCAGCTCATCAGTTACCATCTTATTCTTGTGCCGGCTTTGCAGCATCAGCCACAAATCACAAAGCCACTTAGAAACAAGCACCTCAGAGCAACTGTTGTGCCTTGGGTTTGAGGCCCTGACTCTGTGACACTGGGTCAGGCCACCTCCGCTGGTGAGCACTGAGGGTTTGAAAGAGGACTTGAGGCGTTTTATTTGGGGGCAGCCTTATGCCAACACTGTGTGGTCAGCTTTTTCTGGAAACTGAGCAACTCTTTCTCTAAGTTTCCTTTTGCCATGCTGGAAGTGGGGGAACCCTGTGGCTTCTCATCCAGACCTTTCAAGTTACAGATTAGGAAACTGAGGCCCAGCAGGGGAGCTGATGCATCCTGACTCATCCAGCCCCTTGTTAGCAGCAGAGCTGCCACTGAAGCCTTTCCCCCCAACGCCAGGTCTCCTCAACAAGACTCAAGAAATGAAGAGTGCTCGGGTACTAATAGCACTCTGTGCCTTTAATTACTATTGCCTTTTTCTGTGCTGTTATCTCAAGAGGCTTAGGCTACAAACCTGGTTACACCAAAGTCCAAAGTACCCCACTTTGGGTTGTATAACCTTATCAGCTGAACCCTCTGTCCACGGTCCTCGTCTGAATTGCCAGTTATTTGCACAATTAATGATTTGAGGTGCGAATGATACATGGAATGTATAAGTAGTAAAGATCCCAGAGGTAAGGTTCATGGATGAGGTAAAGCGGTAAAACCTGTCAACTTTTTACTCAGGGACACAGAAAGCCATGGTGATGGCCATGCACATGGGGCTGAGGGAGAGATGGGAAATCTCCACGTCATCCCCCCCTCTGGGTCCTCTCACATAAGTAGTAAGGGGCTTGGACTAGAAAATCTCCAGGTACGACAGCTTGAAGTTCTGCGACCAATGTGAGGGTGTGGGTGGCCAGAGGGAGCCAGCAGGTGGCGAAATTACAAAGACCTTGCCCAGGAGCAGTCCGTCTTGGTAGGGAGAAGGTGGCACCACTCCCAAAGTTGAAGGAGACACAGGTACTTAGGCTAGGGCAGTGCCTATTTGTGTGGCACCTGTGTTGAGCTAAGAAGGAATCCCAGTATCAGTTTGGCCACAGTGCTGGCATCTAAGAACCCCTCTGCACTCTGGTTTCCATCTGACTCTTCCCTGGAACAGTCTCCTCCAAGCACACAGCTCCTCTCACTGTCCTGGATCCCTGCCTTACTCAGCTGTGGTCTCGACTGACCTGCCCTGTCCACCCAGGAGGAGACCCACCCCCCATCTTCCAGGCTGTCAGCCTTTTTGGCCTCTCTGAGTGCGATGTGGTACTTCCCTGGGTCTTTTTCTTATACATGTGATCACTAAATGACCTGGGAGATGGACAGATGCTCCCTTGTCTACCATCAAGGAAACTGCCTGGAGGGAACCTGGCTTCTGAGTTAAGACTCCTTCCATGGACTCTCTGGCCCAGAGCTCTTCCTCTGGATTCCTTCCTCCTGATCTCATGTAGGAAGGGTCTGTCTGTGTCAGAGGCCCTTCATTTCCATTTTGTTGTGGAGTGAGTCAATTAAGGAGTGAATTCCCTTTTTCTTCCTGCGTAGGGAAATGTTTTCCTGTCCCATCTGCTGTACAAAATTCTGGGACACCGGGAAGGGAAAGGTCATCAATGTCAGTGGGGTTTCCTCTGCGATCTGGCATCCGTGGTGCCTTCTCACACTTCATTATCTCATTTCTGCAGTAATGGGCTAAGGTCCTCTGCTGAGGTCTCTTATGTGCACTTAGCACATGGTAGGTGCTCAGTAAACCCACTGTTTTTCTTTACTGAGAGGGTAGAATTCTGATTCCCTGAGCCCTGTGTGTAGGAAGTGGAGGTTTTAATTGTGGGCTGGCCTCTGGCTCTGCAGGCTTCCTCCCACAGCTCAGCATCCAGTTTCTTCATCAGTCAAATGAGGGGGTTGGCTTCATTCCCAAAACGGTGATTAGGGACCTGGGATGTGCCGGGTGTGGGCTGGGGCTGGTGAATGAGACACCCTTCCTTCCACTA